GGATTTTAACCAAGAATAAGCAAAACAACCCACATCACCCTTTAAAAGGAGGTCTGAGGTCACTGTAGAGTCAAAATCATCCAAAAATTATGACATTTCATCTGCGGATAGCAAAAGGCTGCTGCTTCGTCCAGATTCACTTTTCTACTCAGAGGAGAGAGACCAGTCCACCCAGACCAGGTGGCAGTCCTGTATTTCTGGCTGTGTCTTAAGAATATTAGCAGCCACAAGGGAGGTGAAACAGCAGTGGGGCTGTGTCCACTTCTGACACTGCTGTGGGCACCTGGGCTGACTGTGGGAGGGCCACTTAACCCTTGCTCTTCATCCTCTTTGGAGAATGGAATTCATAAAACATGCTTTCTTCCACCTCCCATCAATCTTGCTCCTTTGCCCTGCAAGCTCAGTGGGACAGGGCCTTGCCCATGCAGCGCCTCATGTAATGCTGCCAGGGTCTTCACTGGAGGCTTCAAGCGTGCCAGGAATGACCTGATTGCATTACAGGTGCTTTCTGAACAGCTAAAATCTCTCTTTCTTCCATACCAACAATGATCTCTGTCCTCTCCATGAGTAAATCAGTGCTTTGATTTCTTCAGCCAGTAAGTACCCTTGAAGCTGTCCTATGAGCACAGCAAGATGATGCCGGTGTCTAACATGAAAGGGGCTTGGGTACCCCATAATGAAAGAAGGGGCTGTTGGCTTTTATAGCCTGAGCCATGTGGCTAGCTCATCACACAGGAGGAGGATGGAGCTGAGATGATGGCATCTCACCACTGGTCTGTTTTTTCCATCAGGCCACACAGTGATGGATCTCTGTAATTTTCAAGCAGCCAGGATCTTCAATTGTAATGTGCCTTTATTACAACTTGGGGCAGAAGGAAATAAGCTCTATGCCAGGTCAGTCAAGCCCAGTGGTGGCAGAGGTGATGGAATAAGACCTCCGCTTAGCAAGATGCTGAGATGTGAGTACAAAGGGAGAAAAAAGGGGGAGAAGAGATACCACCCCTAATACCTGGCTGCTCAGCCCAGGTCCAGGTGCCTGGTTCTTGACAGGCCTTGATGGACCTGGTCCCTCTCCTCCTTTCATTCTTTTTTCCAGCCTTTTTACAACCTCAGTCCCTTTATGTTTGTGTTGCTGGAGTGTGTTGCCATGGTTAAAGCTGTTATTCACAGCAGGGTTTGCATCTTACCTGTGAGACAGATATAATATGGAGACGGAGATGTGAATGAATACACTTGTTTGCCCTCATTTCAGTTCCTGCTGGGCATGTGACAAAATAAATCTAATGGTAAAGGAAAACCCTTCAGGGAGAATGGGGAGAGGAGATTGCCACCTTGGAGGAGTTTGTCCAAGGAATATATAGGCTAAACCAAAAGTATGGGTTAGAAGAGATGATCACCTGAGAGCAGGTGATGTGGGGAGAGCAGAGGTGGACATAGGTTTTTTAGAGGTATTATTGAATTGAGAAAATATGTAACTTCAAGTTAAGTCTACTGTAAGGGTGAAGTGTACATGTGGAAAAGTGGGGGTCACAGTTCCCTCCCTGTAGTCTGTTCCCACCCTGGCAGTGCCCATACAATCTTCCTCTTCAGCCTTGCTGTTTTCCTTGGCTCTGGTTGCTCTGAGTGCTAAAAAGGGTTTGCACATTTTCTCTTTTTTTTTTTTCTTTTGGTTAAGATGTGCTTATCAAGAATCTATTTTCTAAATTTTACTTTATTCTTATACTTCTTTGACAATATTATTTATTCAAGGTAAGGGGGAGATGGGGAACGTTCCCATAGGGTATTCTTGTCCAGGAAAAGGTGATAACAAAAACTTTGTCTCTTAGACTTTTAGGGGTTTTGGCTTTGATGTATCAGGCCAAGATCATTTTATTGTCGTTACTCAGGGAGTGATTCAGAATAATGGATCTGCTAGGAAAGATGGACCAAGTTCCTGAGTTTTGTGGCTAATGTTATTACGCAAGTTTGAATTGATGGAACAGTTCTGAATTGCTTCACTCAAACATGCACTGAATGAAGAATTGAATCAATACTTGCTGGGCCCTCTTCCAGCCCCTCCAGAAACAACGGGTTTATTTCTCTCCTTCCGGCAGCCCACCAGCTCTGGTGTTGGCTAGCTGGGGATTTTGGGGAGCTCGCAAACAAATAACTGCTTGAAGGGAAATCACACTGTTCTGCTGCATCCCACTGGGGTCTTATCCCACGTGCCACTGCATCAGTGCCTGTGATGTTGGGTGGCTCTGGATGGGACACCTGCACCAATGACAGGCAGAGCAGATCTTGCTTGGAGAAGCATTAAGGGGCAAAACTGAGCCATTGGTCCTTGGAAGAGACCACCCCCTTTCTGTCTCCAATGGTTGACTGGTTGAGTCCACTCTGCCCCACCACTGGGTTAGTTTGGCATGTTTTGTTGCTATCTTGTAGCCTCGTTGCATTATGACACTCATAGTGACATGGTAGAGGAGGTTTCTGCTGAGACCCTCTTCCACTATAATACTTTCAAATGTTCCATGGTCAGACGTCCAAGCTGTCTGCATGGATGTCCATTGTCCAGTGACACAACAGCTTTTCTGACAGCTCGGCTGCAAGAGAGCTGTGCAAAAGGGGATCTTGTGCTCCCTCCCCATGCTGGCAGTGACAGTATCTCCAGTTCTTGAAGGAGCTGGTGAGTCTCGGAGGAGGGAGCTGAGCTCACTTATCCAATATACCAATGCTGTCCATGCCTGGACAAAATGCATGGGGCTGGTTGGGGGATGACTCCTAGCTAAGGAGTGAGGCCCATGCCCTCTGGATTATTTTGGTGTCTCACATCCTTTGATTTTGTCTGGAGGCAGGACTCCTTTCCCATCTAACATGAGACTATGCCTGGTTATACCTGGCTCCTGCCTGTGTGGAGGAGGGAGATGGCACTTCCAGGGGCTGAGTCAGTCTCTTAAAAGAGAAATCACTCTCCAGTATGTTTTTCCCCTGATTGAAAATCTCCCCAGGTGACTGGGACCCAAGATTAGCTGCCTACATTAAAGCCTGAGATAAAAGATGGTGAGTCGGGGTGAGGGAGGCTAGAAGTTCACTCCTGGCTCAGGTGAGGACAGAATGGGTTGAGGATAAAAGGGAATGCTTCTAAATCATATGCAAGAAGTGCAGAAAATGGCTCTTTCTCCAACACAGAAAAGCTGGTACCACCTCAGCTCAGTATTTCTGACAGCCTCATCCCCAAGCCCCACTGCTGGCCAGGGCTGCTGTTTGCCTTTCTCCTGGGTGCAGCACTGCAGCTCACTGCTGTGTGTTGCTGCACCGCAGCAGTGCCCAGACAGCCAGGTCTTGCTGCCTTGTTCAGCCCTCCTAACTTGCTGTTAAAAGCACTAACAGCACTGCTAGGGATATCCTTTCATATCCCCCAGCTCCATGCTGATATGCACCTGATCTCTTGAGATGTTGTCTGTTCTCTTCAGGAAAGCTGCCAGAAATGTCAATGTTTTCACCCTCCTGCTTTGTGTGTGGTGGTGGGGCTGTATCCCTGCTTGACAGCTGACATCCTCCCCAAGCTCTGTAATTGGGGTGATGGAACTAATGAGGGGGTGAAATCCATCCCATCACTTTCTGTGATTGTCATTTGCCTTCTCCTCCTTCACTGAGTCAATGGAGAAATCTGATATCTGAGCCAAACAAGGGACGTCTGTAACCGTGGTCTGACCAGCACTACGGGAGGCTCGGTGCTAAGGATGAGCAGAGCAACCTCAGAGCCACATGGACACCTCCCTGTGTGCTTGTCTACTGCATAAAGTCACCACAAATTAACTGTAGGTATGTCCAGAAAATTAATGAGTTAAAGTCCTTTACAGCCTCACATGGGCCATCTTCTGCAGAAACAGTGTCCTTAATTAAATCATACCTCATTCAAGAGGTGCTGAATTGAGCCCAAAGGCGAGGAAGGCAGTCTGGGTGCCTGGTGCTGTACAGGAAAGACACGGATCCACAGGGAAAAGGCTGCTACAGCTCATTCACATCCACCTGCAGAGCAGAGTGGGGTAAGGAGCCAGCCTGGATTCATTAATTGTTGCTGGCACAGGGTGACAAGGAAAGCAGCCCAAGTGCAGGCCACGGGAGTGAATTGCACCTCGGCAGCGTAGCTAATTAATGAAGTGAAATGAGTGGTTGGGAGGTGGTATAATGGAGAGTGAGTCAGGCACAGCACCACGTGGAGTTGATCCTATGGTTCCACCCTCCAGCATGCTCAGACCACACTTCAGGTCATCTTCTCTTGGGAGCAGGCAAAACCTCAGTTGTCTTCTGGTGGGGAGAATAAATTACAGGCAACAGGGTTAGAGAAACCCAGTACACTTATCCCAGAGGCTCAGCATCTGCTCTGGGCATGAAGGATGTTATGCTATGACTTTGAACCATGAGCAGGAAGGAGATCCACATGGATGCCTGGATTGGAGAGTCTAAAGGGCTCAAAGGAAGAAGCTCTGCCAAGATATCTGGATCCCTGTTGTCCATCCCACTATCACCACCACCAAGGTGATGTGGAAGTCTCTCTTCAGTTTGTACCTGGGCACCTGGACCTACCCACCTTGGGAAGGAGCCTGGTGGGTCTAACCCTCTCCAGCTGTGGGCAGGCAAAATGCACTGGCTCTCATCACTGGTTCTCATCACCTGGTTCTCATCACTGGCACCACAGGAAACAAGGCTGCATCTTTCACTCAGGTGTGCACCTTGGCAGCAGCTGCACCTGTTTGAGCCGAGAAGCCAGCACCAAGGTGTTAAGGAAACTTTCCTGTCTGATCATTCGGGAGGCACTTTGGCTGTCACAGTCCCAAATTTGAGTGCCTCCCGAATGATCAGACAGGAAAGTTTCCTTAACAAAAGATGGACTGTTTGCATTGTGTATTGATGTGCCCTGTGCTCACGGGCGCTTAGGGCTGCAGTTTTGGCCTCTGTAAAAAACATCTTGCAGGGGCTGACTGGGAGAAAAAATGCCCCTGCAACTACAGCCAAGCCAGAAAGCATCCCTGGAACTGTGAGTCTGTGGGTCTGCACCAATGCTGCACAGTCTGGGGCAGAGCCAGTCAGGTGGAAGCAGCCACACGGGGGGACAAGGAGCACACTACCAGTTCTGGGGAAGCTCCATCACTCCTTGAATGAAGCAATCTAGGCGCTGGCTCTCCCTGATGAGGTGACCACCGGGGTCTAGGCTGGAGCCGGGAGGTGAAGAACGAGGACATCCAGAAGAGCCCAGGCTTTCGAAATCAATTTTGGCAGTCGGAAGAAATTCTCCTTTCCTTTCCCTTCTTCGCGGCTCTTTTGTTTTCCGCAGCCCGACAGAAGAGGCTTCCAGCAAGCGGCAGGGGTGGGGGCAGAGCCCACCCGCACAAAGGCAGTTCCCCACGGGCTGTGTGACCGCTGTCACGCTTTTTCGCTCAAATCAACGCCAGGGGAGGATGACGTGAGGCTGGTGCTCCCCGGCCCCGGGGCTGATTGGTCCCAGCTCAGGTTTGAACGCCAAGGTGTCCTGGCAACGAGAAGCAGAGGAGCCAGACTTTCTCGTCCCTACTCGGCTCCGGGAGCGCGGCGGGTGCTGGAGAAAGGCAGGCATCGACGGCGAGGAGCAGCGCGGAGGGCCCCTGGCCCTCCTCCAGGTACCCTCTGCGCGGTCCCGGGCCATGCCCCGGCCCCACCTTTGGAGGTGGGATGAGTTTCACTCAGTGTGGGTGTCAGGTGGCCGACGGCGGCACTGACTCTACTCAGCCGGCACCTGTGCTCCTGTCTACAGTCACGGCAGTGCAGGAGCTTGTTTTAAGTGGGAGTACGGCAAGGGAAATCACTGGGATTTTGGGGGTCTTGAAAGTGATTTTGTGGGAGGGATGCTTGGGTAGAAGCTGTGCAGGGAGGAAGGAGTCAAGCGGCCTTCAGACAGTTTGTGGTCAGCTCTCTTGCCCCAAGAGGACGGAGGTGATTTTGGGTAAGTTTGGGTTCGCCTGATTAACAAAACTCACAAAAGCCCTGCAGGGCAGCCAAGGCTACGAGCTGTGCTAGAAGAAGGTGGCTTTAAATTGAAATTAAAGCTTTTCCTGCTGATAGCTGCTCTGATTGTGTCTCAGCACAACCCGCCTGCATGTCCATTCCTCTGGAGCCGGGGGGAGGGTGAGGAGGGAAGGGCCCTCCAGGGCTCAGTTGTGTGCAGGGAAGCGAGGAGCATTGTGGGGGTGTGCTGTAAAGAAAAGGCTTTTTCCTCTACTTGGGAGATGGGAGCAGAGATGTAAGAAGCTTGCTGGGGGAGGGCGCTTGCCGGCACGGGGAGGCAGCATTCACCACAGCCCGGTTTGCACCTGTCAAAACTAGCAGAGACAAACATGTAAAAAGATGTGAAAGATGTGCCAGCCATTAATGACAGAGCAGGTCCAAGCTGTCCTAGACGAGGGAGCACCTCCACAGGGTAACATCCATCCCAGAGGAGCTTCCTGGTTCCGTGGTGGGTGATGAGCTTGTGGAAGGGCTGGTGTCCTGTGTGGATTCAGTGGCATACACTGAAAAGCAACACCCCAACTCAGAAAGGTCTTGGTGCCACGAGTGGGGCAACAATGCCAAGACCTTTGAGATCACAGCTTGTGTTATTTATCAGGGCACAGGGCTGAGGGCTGCCTGAACAATTCTTACCCACAGCGCCAAAGGCACGAGAAGACTTGGTGTCATGCTTGTAGCAGAAGAGCAGTTCCTCAAGATCCTGGTGTTAGGGAAAGGCAGAGGGACATCACAAAATGAGCAGAGAGGGTTTTGCTGGCAGTGTTTTGTTGCTGACCTGGATTCTCACTGATGACCTGGAGGTGTAAGATTAGCACAGTCAGCCTATCCCAGGACTGTGGGGGGATTAGAGAAAGGGAAAGGGTCATGCCTGTTACACAGGTCATTCTTCGCTGTTTAAGTGGGAATATGCAACACAAATTGTCAGTTAAAAAAAAATCCTGCATAATGCAGTGTTGCCAAGGTTTATAATTCTGGGGTGATGGACTTACAGCAGTATAGTCTTTACCTGGAAAACCCAGGTACCAGGTCTATGAGATTCAGTGATGCTTTTTATATCTAAATAAAAGTTAAGAAAAAACATCTGTCCCATGCAGTAAGAGGAGGTTTGACCTAAATGAACCTGAAAATTCAGAAACCTAAAGGTGAATTAAACTAATTGGGTATTTTCATTCTTTTCTTCAACAATCATGTTTTAGAGCCAGTTTTTAAAATTTAGCAATTTGAGACTGGGTGATACTCCTACTTGGACCAGCAGCTCTCCCTGCTCCAATTAGTTCAAATAAGCCTTGTTTCTCTGAAGGGTTAAGGCAAGTACATTCTTCAAGCCTTATTAAACCCATGAACACTAATGTCATTCTGAAACCCAAGAGAGGGGAAAGCATACCCACACCTTGCAGGCCTTAAAAAGGAACAAATTCAGCTCACTCTGTATGTCCCCAAGCATTCTGCCTAGGGAGTTTATGACTGGGAGTGTTAGCCCCACTGAAGCAGGACTTTCCCAGATAGTCATTAAATAACTTGTCTTTCCTGGTATTTTATGGAATCAACAGTGCTTGTTGCTTGCTAATAGCATCTGCTTTTATTTGAGTGGGATCATATTTTATAACAATCTTTCTGTTCAGTTTGCATGTTTGCAGTGACCCCAGCAAGTAACCACTCCATGGCTGGTAGTAAATTCACTCCCAGATGCTTAATGATGGTATTTACTGTAGGAGCCACCAGTCTTAAGGCTGTAGTGATGATGTGGTGATTAGGGTGTGTTGATGGGACACAGGGCAGTTGGGTAATTGCTAGTGGTGAGCTAGTGAACTCCCAGGTAATTGCACCTTACCTGGAGAGGTGTGCTGTCATGAGCGGTGTTTTAAAGACAAAGCTGTGAGGAGTATAAAGGACGGTCATTGTCTCCGTATGACAGCACTGAATCATGAACAGGAAATTATCCCTTCTCCATACCAAGAAAAATAAAGCTTGGTCTGTTTTCTTTCCTGTCGGTTTCTTACAGAAAAGACACTCATGGTAGGACTCATGTGCCTGTCAATCTGTGCTCCTTCCTTCTCTTCATACCCTTTAAACACTTAAGAAGTAGAGATGCTCTGCTTCAGGACACCTAAAAGTGTCCTGAAAATGGGTCTTGAAAGGAGGAAAGAGAAAGACATACTCATTGTCCCTAGAAATGCCTGGCGTAGACCAAATCTCTGTTAGACGCCAGAGAGTCCTTGTAGCAGAGGGACCCCAGCAAAGCTCACTCACCAGAAGGCTTCAACATAAGCTCAGATTTCATCCATAGACATGAGGTTCGAGCAATCCTTGTTCCTAGGAGAGCAGACATCATTAATGAGGTTATTAAGGGGAGACATTAATTTTACTTTTAATGAATGTGGGATCTACAGAAGTTTGTGTGGTCACTTGCTAGAGCCCCATGGCCCTTGGGCAAGATTTCTCAAGTCCCAGCCATCTCCATGTGTGTTTGGGCTCCTCAGGATATTACTCAGCCTGCACGTACATGGAGCTGGTAGTCCTCACTTAGTCCTAGTGTCGGAGGCTATCTCAGGTGCTGATCACCCCCAGTGCCTGCGGTCTCCAGCCTTGGCACTTTGTGTTTGTTTGCCCTGCATACCCATCAGTGGAAAAGCCAAAATTGCTTTGCCCTCCCCTCTCATGCAGGAGAGGGCTGAAGACATGATCCCTATAATTGCCACCCTCTCCTACCCCAGAAAGGAGTAATCCCCAAAGCAGTGGTGACGCTAGAGTCCTCTAATGCTTCTGGAGTCTTCATCATCAGGTCCTGGAGGGCTTTGGGAAAGATGCCTTACATCTATTTTACAGCTGAGAGGGTGAAAGCAAAGTAAGGGGCAGAACCTTGACACGCATTGCCAGGAGGAGAGCAAATGGCAGGCTCTCCCAGCAGGGCCAAGGGGCTGATAGTGGTGCTCTCACCTTACCCAAGGTTCGAGCTCACCAGGTTGGTCTGGTACCAGGAATGCTCTGGTTGAGTGGCTCTTTATCTGCTCAAACCTTTTCATTTTGTCTCATGATTAAGAGACAAAGATGGGGAGTGTCTTTTCTCTCCAAATTATTGAGCTTTCCTTTCCCTCTGTAGCAAGAGAGAAAAATTGCAGCAAAACCAGCAAAACAAATTCCAGTACAAGATTGTTCCAGTGATGGGGAGAAAATAAGTAATATGTGGGCCCAGGACCACCCAGGAGAGAGTCTGCTCTTGCCCCAGCAATGCTTTAAGGGGCTTAACAAGTCAGTACCAACAGTAAAGCTGTGGCAGGGTTATCAATATATTAAGAATTTTGGACAAATGGGCCAGATGTTTCCAGGTACTGGCTGATAGAAATGATAGTGCTGGTCCAGGTTGCTGTAGTTCCATTGACACGCCTGCAGCTGCTCTACTGTTATGGTTAGTGATGGGAAAAGTGGTTTAAACTGTCCTCCTTCCCCAGCCTGATCCAAGCACTCACTGCTCCACCTTGTTTGTTGGCATGAGCATTTACCCAGCTGCCTGATGCAGAGGCACTGGTCTGGCGTAAGAAAAAAAAATAACAACATTTTCTCCCTTGGGGATTTTCTACAGCTGGACAAGTCCTTGATCTAGTTCTCTGCACCAAAAGCAGTGCAGGCATGGTGGAGGGGGAAGTGCAGCTGTTGGCCCACCACTGCCTGCTTTAACCAGTCCAAAATATCAGCTTGAATGCGAGGTCATGGATGAATCCTTTCCTCTGTCGTTCCTCTGGTGCTGATAAGGGAAACATGTTGATTGTGGTTTTACTGACCACTGCCAGATGTTTGAAATTCTTTAGTTTAATCATTGGTCCAGGACCACTAGGTCCAGTGGCTCTGATCACAGGAGTGCTGGGCTGAAGGAAATCCCTTGAAACCTGCTCTCTGGTACCAAGATGATCACTGAGCTACACAATACCATAAGCCCTACCAATACAATATCTTTGAACCTGAAGATAGTGAGGTACAGGCAGAGATCAGAGCACGAGATTCAGAGGCTGGAGCTGTTGGGTGTTGATCCTGGCTCTACTGCCAACTCTCTTTGTCCTTGGGCAAATTATTTACCTTTCCTTTTCCCTGCTCCCCTTCCATCCCCTTTCCAAATCCTTTGTCACATGAGGGTTGGGGAGAAGCTTGCAAAACTCCTTCTGAAGTGCTTTGAAGACAGAAAGCAGTATGAACAAATGATAAGTTGTATGGGCAATATAAACAAACCTGGCTACATATTTCCCAGGCTCAATGAGGAAGGAGGAGGGATTAACTGGTGGGTGGCACCCACCTCCTAATTACAAGGCTTGTCTCTGGATCCCTTCAGTGTGAAGCATCCTCTTGGCTGAAAAGCAGATGATATAGTCACACCTGAGCAGAGGTAGGGGAAGAAAAACTTGTCACACAAGTGAACCAGAGTGGCTGTAAATTTCCTTTGGGAGGGAATGAGTGGTGGGTGCCAGCAGTGAGTTGAAAATGGTCTTCTGGACCACCTCCAGACCTACTGGTTCAGCTATGCCTCTTCTTTCTTCTTGTCTGGTGAGTTGTTCCAGGTGATTGCTAGATGACTTTGAGGGTCCCATAAGATCTAGGGAAGTCCTCCCTGTAGCTGCCATTAGAC